TAATTAATTAAACGACAGCTAATCACCAAACAACCGAGCACTTGCGAAATTTCTAGAAAACTAAAAGAGCAGAATGCAAGTGATGATTCTGTTGCTGTCATTATTTGATTTGTACTAAATTGTATGCACATTGTGTTTGTTGTAATTTTATTGTGTTGGGTGGTGGGGGAGAACATTTTAGAGTACGTAAATAGATTAGGAGCACAATGTTAAAGTGGAAGGGTTCTAGTGATTGAAAAGAGTCGACTTTTTGTCGGAAAAAGTCGAGCAGTCGAAGTCGACTTTTTTTGCCCTAACTTCATAGAAAAGTGGACTATCTTGCAAATAAAAGTCGAAAAAAATCGAAAAGATAGTCTATAGTCTAGTCTATAGTCTAGTCTATAGTCTAGTCTATAGTCTAGTCTATAGTCTAGTCTATAGTCTAGTCTATAGTCTAGTCTATAGTCTAGTCTATAGTCTAGTCTATAGTCTAGTCTATAGTCTAGTCTATAGCTATAGTCTAGTCTATAGTCTAGTCTATAGTCTAGTCTATAGTCTAGTCTATAGTCTAGTCTATAGTCTAGTCTATAGTCTAGTCTATAGTCTAGTCTATAGTCTAGTCTATAGTCTAGTCTATAGTCTAGTCTATAGTCTAGTCTATAGTCTAGTCTATAGTCTAGTCTATAGTCTAGTCTATAGTCTAGTCTATAGTCTAGTCTATAGTCTAGTCTATAGTCTACTCTATAGTCTAGTCTATAGTCTAGTCTATAGTCTAGTCTATAGTCTAGTCTATAGCCTAGTCTATAGTCTAGTCTATAGTCTAGTCTATAGTCTAGTCTATAGTCTAGTCTATAGTCTAGTCTATAGTCTAGTCTATAGTCTAGTCTATAGTCTAGTCTATAGTCTAGTCTATAGTCTAGTCTATAGTCTGGTCTATAGTCTAGTCTATAGTCGTTGTGTGTAAAAATATTGTTAAAAAATTAGTAACAATAATGTAGCAAAACTGTTTGGAAAAAGATAAAAGGTTGAGCCGGCGGCGTGTTGCTTTTGTTTGGCCATTCGTTGTTAATAAGTGCGAGTTGGTGTGCGGGTAGGGGGGAGTCTGTTAAGGTCATTAGTTAGTTGGTTGGAAAGTGAAAAAAAGTTTGTTAATGAGAAAAGAAAAGCTTTTATAAGTTTTGTAAAGTAAAAATGAAGAAGTAAAATAATTTCAAATAAGAAAAAGCTTTCTAATATAGTAAAGGAAATAAGAAGTAAATCAAGTGTAGATCTTTATAAGAAAAAAAGCTAAGAAAATAAAAGATGTTGTGAATTTAAATAAAAAAGCTTTGAAGTAAAAATAAATAAAAAGCTATTTAAAAGTTTGTGAAAAAGAGGAAAAAAAATTGTTGGCGGAAAGGAAACAAGTGTTAAATAAGGTGAGTTATTAATTTAATTTAGTTATAATTCAAAATATATTGAAAAGGGTTTCTGGTTTTTAAAGATTAATTTGAGAAAATTTTCTTCAAAATTAAAAGAAATTTACAGTAGAATAAAAAGCAAAAAAACTTCAATTAAAATGGTTCGTAGTTTAGGATATACTTTTCTATATTATACGAACAAAATAAGAATTTTAATCACATCTTGTTATGCTTTGTTGCCCGGGAACAATAACTAGTTGTGTATGCATGTGTGTTCATCAATAGTTTGATTCTTGCTTGTTGAAAACTTGAATTAGAATTTCAAAAATTAATTTCCTAATAGTTTGGACTTGTATAACTGATATATAAAATATAAAAATAAGTTATTTCCAGTATATTAAATAAAAAATTTTTAGCAAAAGTTAAACTTATTTTTTAACCCATACAATTTTGTATTACTTCTTTAATAATATTACTTAGTATAATTAATTTATTTAACTACTAGCTATAAACTCAGTTTAACTATTAATAAGTTGTTTTTGTATATTTATTTAAATATTAATCTTAATTATATTTTACTAGGAGCTTTAACATTAATTTTGTTTTTAAAATCTTATTTTAAGTGAAAAAGTTTTTCTTTTATGGATTTTTCAATATATACAGTCCTTGGCATTGATATTTTAACTTTAACCCTAGAAAAATATCTTGCAAATAAGTTCTAAATTTAAAGGAAATAATAAAGGAATTTTGATATTAAATTAAAATTAAGCTTAAAAATAGCTGCTAAGAGGGAGGTGAATCAAAAGATTGCAAAAGTGTCAGAAGTGGAGTGTCAAACAAATATCGGTCCGCCTTGAATCCTATATATTTACCAGCGATATAATTGTCTTATTATTTAGCCATTTTAATATACATAATATTATTAGAAACTTGGATCCTATAGTATCAAGATTATTTATCAAAAATTTCAGCTTTCTAGGACCACTTTTTTAGGCATTATTTCTAAACTTTTTAATATTTCACATTTAATTGTATTGTGACACTTAATGATCGGAGGAATTTTTACTAATTTAATTTTTAACCGATTATTGTGTTTTATATCTTATTGCTACATTATCCAATTCAAAAAGATAATTTGGTACAAAATTTTAGTAAAAATCGTTTTCCCCCTCAGAGGAGATACAATGAAAATATTTGTACTGATAGTAAACCTGCTATAAAGTCTTAATCTGGAGCCTACACCATATGTCGGGTGTCTCTTGACGAAACTGCTCAGGCTATAGGTTCATAATGTACCTGGAAATAACAAAGGGGACAAACTAGCTAAAACTGGTTCTCACCCTCACATAGGGGACATTGACACACTAGTTGGTGTTCCACTCTCATGCTGTAAATCACTTATCCAGCATATGAACTGTATGGGTCTGCTCAGACCAGATTGTCATCACTGACCTACAGATCAATATCAAGAATGACCTGGCCTCTCTATGATGCAGGTCTACATGTTTGATGCGGCTTTCCTGGATGAGACCACGTGTTTTATAAATTATAAATGGGCATGCTAGAAGACTAAATCTTCTATAATATTATTATTGCAGGAGTTGGAGGAGGATGAAGAGCAAAGAACACTTTGTATGCCTCTGCCTTGGCAAATATCAGGACTGAGTTTCTAGGCAGCCCAATATTGCAAGAGCCTCTGGCTGGTTTAATTCCATATTACTGTGTTTAATATGGAATTGAACCATGTAATTGTTTATAGGTGGGTGCCCCCCCCCCCCCGGGAGTTGTGGTGTAAACCGTCACTGACCTTTTGACCTTTCTTTAATTTATCGGCGATTTTCCTTTCATCGTTGAGTATTTTGGAGTTTACTCTAAAACATGCTCAACTTATCACAGAGCCATCTCAGTAGTGTGGTTGAGCGACATATAAGGTTTTACCTTGTCGGGGTTAGATTGAGCTTGCTCATGAAACCTGTTCTTCCTCAACGGGACTACTATGACAAGAGATTAGATAGCTCGAACACTTGAACAAAGTGCTTTTACATGGACCGGCTTTAGGCATGTACAGAAATTGCCAACTGAAATTCACCCAGTGGTTAAAAAAAGACCATCGTAAGATAGGCCAACACGGCAGGTACTCACGTAAAGCACTTCGGTATTCGTGTCCTATAGGTGGGGTTTTTACGTAGGTTGCGTTACAGGGTAACACAGCGGGACCATTAGGGCCCAAGTGAATCGGTCATTGGCCGACTGCCTGAATAACCTAATCTAACCTAAGTATAAGTCTAGATTCAGAGACGGTCACTATTCGCAACTTATATTGAGCACTCAAGTATACGGTCAGAAGGACTAAAATATGAAAATGTGGAAAATTCGGAATCAGCACATCAAATAACACTGGGATTAGTGGAAACCGTTTAAAAAGTTTTTTTCATCGTTGGTCTGTGTTATTAGGGTGCTATAGTTGAAACAAAAAGTCGACTTTTCGAACTTTTTTTATATCGACTTATTACGACATTTCGACTTCTGCCGACTTTTATTTGCAAAATCCATTCTTAAGCTTTTTCTTACAAATAGTTTTTACTTAATGACTTTGTTAGGACAAAAAATCGACTTCGACTTTTTTCGATAAGAAAAAAACGCACTTTTAAATATTTGCAAAATAGTTTTTTTGACTTTTTTCTTACGATATAGTCGCTTTATCGACTTTGTTGGAAAAAGGGTAGATTACGACTTTTTGACTTTTTCCGAGAAAAAACAGTAGTTATTATGCATGGTACGCGATCTGATGCTATTATAATTTCTTTACAGAATACAAAATTTTGTCAACATATACATATATGCCCAGGACTGTACAATGGAACGTTTTGATTGATGTTTGAAGATAAATATTCGTATGTACAATAAAATTGTTTTGTTATAGAAAAAGATGATATTTGTATTAAATGATATTTGAGTGTTTTTTTTTTTGGCATAGGATATGTATGAGTTTTGTAATGAAATGTTATAGTTAGATTTACTGGGATTCTTAATTCAAAACTTGAATACTTTTCCTTACTTAAAAGAGAATCTTAAAAAAGACTTTATTTAGCCTATGTCGAAAATTAGATTTCCCTAAGACTATTTGTGAAATTTTAAAATTCATCGATAACATGAATAATTTATTTGAAATTTGTAATCATGGATTATTTCAGTGTTTATCGATAATTTTAGTTATTCTCTTTATAGTTATCGATAAATTTTAATTTTTCTCTTAATTTTTAAGAATTCTTACATTATTTTTTTTTTTTAATTTAGTAGTTTATCTTAATTTAATTAAGTTCTAATATTAAATTTAACTTTTAAAAAGTTTTATCTTTAAGAGTTCACATTCATACGAGTATTTTGCTTTAGTTCGGTAATTGTTATACATTTTGTTTAAATTTCAAAATTTTGTTTTAAGTCAAAGACAGAGTTGTATTTAAAGAATTTAAAATTATGTTTCTTTATCCTTACACACATACATTCATAAATATTTCATACAGTTTTACATTACATTTCTTACAAATTTAAACATGAGTTTTGTCTTATATTTTCCTATATTATTGGAATTATGTTTTATTTTTGCAGGAATTAACCCAGTTATCTAAATACTAAATGATGTATTAGTAACTTAAAAAGACTAAAACTACTGATATTACTAACGCTGTTGCTAATGCTATTAGTATTGGATATTGCAGCTGTATTTTGGCGTAATTTTGTTTTCGATGCTGATGTTTTTATGTTTGTAGATGTTGCAGCTGTTGCAAGTGTTGAAAGGCATAGACAGCCTATTAAGGTTAGTAGATAACTAGCAGAAATACCATTATAATGATGTATACTTCCGTAATTGGATGTACCTAGTAAGAGTTAAACAAAGTGCATTAGTAATAGTAATTCGGACTTAAACTAATAATAAATCGTTTATAGTCTTAGAAAATACCATGTGCTCTTGATTTGGCTGCTACTGTTTCTCGTGATTCTAAAACGGGTGCTTTTTGTGGACGATCAGATTCTACACTTTCTTCTCGACTTTGAAAATATAGCGAGGATATTTTGGCCACACACTTGGGTAGAAAATTTAGATATTAATCAATAGATTTAAAAGTTTTACATAATTTGTATTATATTACCTTTAATTTCATATCACCATTTCTAAAATGATTACTTCTTACTCTAAAATCTAAACCCAATATCGCCACCTCTAGACCCTCCCTGCCATAGACAACATTATCGTAAAACTTTAAATAAGATCTATTGGCCGGTTCACCATTTATGCTCCAACTTAAATGACACACCGGTTTGGAGGGATAGGAGGAACAGTTGACACGCACATAATCACCAATTTGATAACGCTGTTGTCCACCGGTTATACGAGGTCCACGTGAGGGAGTCACTAGAAAAAAAAAAAGAAAACACAAAACATTTATTAAAAATCAGGAAACATTTCTCCACAATTTCATTCCCAACACTCGTAACAAAAGTCAAATGGAAAAGGATTTAAAATATGACTACTGATATCTTCCTTTATTCCTTAAAATTTTTTTACCCATTTCATTAACCTAAAATTAAATCTAAACATAACAATCATTCCTTCCATACTAAAGTAAAATATTCAGACAACCTGCAAGGCATAAATAGAAATAAAAGTAATGTTAATAATAAGTAGTGTCCTTTTAAAAAATAATATTTATTCCTTCATAAAGCAATTTAAAATTTCATAATTTATACAAATGTACCCCAAGTTCTCTATACACGCCTATATTTTGGAAAATGTACATATTTAATTCATAGTAGCCCAAATATGTTTATACCCTACACCACTTTAGTGGGGAGGGTATATTGGATTTGTGCTGATGTTTGTAACGCACAATAATATTGGTCCTATACCCACCTTAAAGTATACCAATCGGCTTAGAATCATTTTCTGAGTCGATTTAGCTATGTCCGTCCGTCTGTCCGTCCATGTAAACCTTGTAATCAAACTACAGGTCGCAATTTTGAAGATAATTCAATGAAATTTGGCACATGATCTTATATTGGCCCAGGGACGAAGCCTATTGAAAATGGTTAATATTGGTCCATTATTTCACCTAGCCCCCATACAACTGAGCCCCCGAATAGGGCTTGTAAACCTTGTAATCAAACTACAGGTCTCAATTTTGAAGATAATTCAATGAAATTTGGCACATGATCTTCTATTGTCCCAGAGACGAAGCCTATTGAAAATGGTTAACATCGGTCCATTTTCTCATCTAGCCCCCATACAACTGAACCCTCGAATAGTGCTTGTAAACCTTGTAATCAAACTACAGGTCGCAATTTTGAAGATAATTCATGATCTTCTATGGTACCGGAGACGAAGCTTATTGAAAATGGTTAACATCGGTCCATTATTTCACCTAGACCCCATACAACTGAAAACGACGAATAAGGATTTTAAGTTTATAATTATGTTTAATATACTCGTATCTCGACAAAAAGCTGCAAAACCAAGTTCTATACTAGCCTTGATGACTCGCATGAATTTTATAATTGACCATAGCCCCTATACAAAACCCCCTTCAAAATTTGACTTAAATGTCAACAATTTTATTCAACAATAAATGGCTTAAGTATATGTATCTGACACAAATCAACTTAAATGCTTTATTATGAAAACTAAATCACATTTTATTTTTGTAACAGGTGTAGGGTATTATATGGTCGGCCTCGCCCGACTATAATTTCTTACTTGTTTTTATATGCTGTCAAATGTGTGCAAAAGTTTGGGGGTCTATTTAAAAAGTATGCATGTGTATAATCATTTGACAGGAAACCACTTGATTTTTCCTTATTTCATACATATATATTTGGTATTAAGAAGTTTTCCGCATTCATACAAACATTCCAACAAACATACCAACACACATTCATAATACGAAAAGTTGATTTAAATTTTGATGTGGCACATTTTTTTTTTTTTTTTTTTGAAAAAGACTTTAAGGTAAAACTAAAAGTATGAAAATTAGCATAAATTTTAAATAAAAATGAAAGAAATTTTTTCTTACTTCTTTTTAATGGGACAAAATAAATATTATTGAAATAAAACAAGTTTTTTTCTGTTGGTTTTGCGTTAAGCCAGGGGCAAGGATTGAAAAGTTATGAGAAATTATTATAATAATGATATTCAGAGGCTGTACATAAATGAGAAAGCGAAAAAGGGACTTAGAAAAATTTATAAAATTTAATTTAAAACTTTGTTAAATAAACATCTAAATGTGAAAGGAAAATAATATACAACATAATATACTAATCTAGTCTATAGTCTAGTCTATAGTCTGGTCTATAGTCTGGTCTAGTCTAGTCTATAGTCTAGTCTATAGTCTAGTCTATAGTCTAGTCTATAGTCTAGTCTATAGTCTAGTCTATAGTCTAGTCTATAGTCTAGTCTATAGTCTAGTCTATAGTCTAGTCTATAGTCTAGTCTATAGTCTAGTCTATAGTCTAGTCTATAGTCTAGTCTATAGTCTAGTCTATAGTCTAGTCTATAGTCTAGTCTATAGTCTAGTCTATAGTCTAGTCTATAGTCTAGTCTATAGTCTAGTCTATAGTCTAGTCTATAGTCTAGTCTATAGTCTAGTCTATAGTCTAGTCTATAGTCTAGTCTATAGTCTAGTCTATGTCTAGTCTATAGTCTAGTCTATAGTCTAGTCTATAGTCTAGTCTATAGTCTAGTCTATAGTCTAGTCTATAGTCTAGTCTATAGTCTAGTCTATAGTCTAGTCTATAGTCTAGTCTATAGTCTAGTCTATAGTCTAGTCTATAGTCTAGTCTATAGTCTAGTCTATAGTCTAGTCTATAGTCTAGTCTATAGTCTAGTCTATAGTCTAGTCTATAGTCTAGTCTATAGTCTAGTCTATAGTCTAGTCTATAGTCTAGTCTATAGTCTAGTCTATAGTCTAGTCTATAGTCTAGTCTATAGTCTAGTCTATAGTCTAGTCTATAGTCTAGTCTATAGTCTAGTCTATAGTCTAGTCTATAGTCTAGTCTATAGTCTAGTCTATAGTCTAGTCTATAGTCTAGTCTATAGTCTAGTCTATAGTCTAGTCTATAGTCTAGTCTATAGTCTAGTCTATAGTCTAGTCTATAGTCTAGTCTATAGTCTAGTCTATAGTCTAGTCTATAGTCTAGTCTATAGTCTAGTCTATAGTCTAGTCTATAGTCTAGTCTATAGTCTAGTCTATAGTCTAGTCTATAGTCTAGTCTATAGTCTAGTCTATAGTCTAGTCTATAGTCTAGTCTATAGTCTAGTCTATAGTCTAGTCTATAGTCTAGTCTATAGTCTAGTCTATAGTCTAGTCTATAGTCTAGTCTATAGTCTAGTCTATAGTCTAGTCTATAGTCTAGTCTATAGTCTAGTCTATAGTCTAGTCTATAGTCTAGTCTATAGTCTAGTCTATAGTCTAGTCTATAGTCTAGTCTATAGTCTAGTCTATAGTCTAGTCTATAGTCTAGTCTATAGTCTAGTCTATAGTCTAGTCTATAGTCTAGTCTATAGTCTAGTCTATAGTCTAGTCTATAGTCTAGTCTATAGTCTAGTCTATAGTCTAGTCTATAGTCTAGTCTATAGTCTAGTCTATAGTCTAGTCTATAGTCTAGTCTATAGTCTAGTCTAGTCTAGTCTATAGTCTAGTCTATAGTCTAGTCTATAGTCTAGTCTATAGTTTAGTCTATAGTCTAGTCTATAGTCTAGTCTATAGTCTAGTCTATAGTCTAGTCTATAGTCTAGTCTATAGTCTAGTCTATAGTCTAGTCTATAGTCTAGTCTATAGTCTAGTCTATAGTCTAGTCTATAGTCTAGTCTATAGCCTAGTCTATAGTCTAGTCTATAGTCTAGTCTATAGTCTAGTCTATAGTCTAGTCTATAGTCTAGTCTATAGTCTAGTCTATAGTCTAGTCTATAGTCTAGTCTATAGTCTAGTCTATAGTCTAGTCTATAGTCTAGTCTATAGTCTAGTCTATAGTCTAGTCTATAGTCTAGTCTATAGTCTAGTCTATAGTCTAGTCTATAGTCTAGTCTATAGTCTAGTCTATAGTCTAGTCTATAGTCTAGTCTATAGTCTAGTCTATAGTCTAGTCTATAGTCTAGTCTATAGTCTAGTCTATAGTCTAGTCTATAGTCTAGTCTATAGTCTAGTCTATAGTCTAGTCTATAGTCTAGTCTATAGTCTAGTCTATAGTCTAGTCTATAGTCTAGTCTATAGTCTAGTCTATAGTCTAGTCTATAGTCTAGTCTATAGTCTAGTCTATAGTCTAGTCTATAGTCTAGTCTATAGTCTAGTCTATAGTCTAGTCTATAGTCTAGTCTATAGTCTAGTCTATAGTCTAGTCTATAGTCTAGTCTATAGTCTAGTCTATAGTCTAGTCTATAGTCTAGTCTATAGTCTAGTCTATAGTCTAGTCTATAGTCTAGTCTATAGTCTAGTCTATAGTCTAGTCTATAGTCTAGTCTATAGTCTAGTCCATAGTCTAGTCTATAGTCTAGTCTATAGTCTAGTCTATAGTCTAGTCTATAGTCTAGTCTAAGTCTAGTCTATCTAGTCTATAGTCTAGTCTATAGTCTAGTCTATAGTCTAGTCTATAGTCTAGTCTATAGTCTAGTCTATAGTCTAGTCTATAGTCTAGTCTATAGTCTAGTCTATAGTCTAGTCTATAGTCTAGTCTATAGTCTAGTCTACAGTCTAGCCTATAGTCTGGTCTATAGTCTAGCCTATAGTCTAGTCTATAGTCTAGCCTATAGTCTAGTCTATAGTCTAGTCTATAGTCTAGTCTATAGTCTAGTCTATAGTCTAGTCTATAGTCTAGCCTATAGTCTAGTCTATAGTCTAGTCTATAAATCCCTGTCTTCTATAGTCTAGTCTATAGTCTAGTCTATAGTCTAGTCTATAATCTAGTCTATAGTCTAGTCCATAGTCTAGTCTATAATCCATTTTATTTTATAATTTATTTTACTAAATTAATCAGTATTTATTATATGTAAAAGTTTTTTGTTTGTATTTGTTGTTATTTTTGGTTGAAAGTAGACTGCATATTAAATATTTATGCAGAAAAGTCTGCTGCCATTTTTTCCTGTTTCTATTAAATTTAGTTTTTTGTATATTGCTGCTGCATATGAAATGTGTTCATTTACAATTCTAGAGCCATTTAATTTTAATGAGTTTATAAATGAAATTGATTTTTTTTCTGCTGCTATTTGTTGTTGCCTTTAACCCAGACTTAAAACTCCTGACTGGTAGAAAATGACTACCAAAAGGAGTATATCATTGCAATGTTGGTGCCTGAGTTGTTGAAAGAAATACATGCTAAATAAACTTTGTGAAATAATGAAAATGAAGTCAGAAACAAGCGCAGTAGTTGAAAAACTGACCATTTTTTAGTTGAATTTTTCATTATGTTAGAATGAGTTTTTCTCATTTTGTTGAAAATACAAAAATATTTGCTGTTTATATTTAGATTCTCATTAAGATGCTGGAAATATGCAATATTTTAGCTTAAATAGAAATACATTTAT